GTATCCAGTATCCAGTATCCAGTATCCAGTATCCAGTATCCAGTATCCAGTATCCTGTATCCTGTATTAAGTTCAATATCCTGTATCCTGTATCATGTATCCAGTATTTAGTTTTTATATATGTATGAAGCCAATTTTTACAGATTGATTCTTGCTGAAGAAGTTTAAACCCTCTTACATGAACTGAACACAAAAGACAATGAATGAAAAATTGAATTTTCATGTTGTTTTTTTTCAAAAATGGGATTTTTTTCGAAAATTGTACCGATTGTACAGATTTTTAAAAAAAATGAACGGATTTTTAAAAAAATGTACGGATTTTTAAAAAAATGTACGGATTGGTTTAAAAAAATGTACGGATTGTACGGATTTTTTTTTTAAATTGTACGGATTTTACGGATTTTTTTTCGAAAATTGTCCGGATTGTACGGATTTCTTCTGAAAATGTACGGATTTTTGTACGGATTTGTTCAAAAAAGTTTTGGCCACCCTGAACCTAGCTAATACTTCAGTTAGTAAACCTAGATAATACTATAGTTAGTAAACCTAGATAATACTATAGTTAGTAAACCTAGAAAATACTATTGTTAGTAAACCTAGATAATACTTCAGTTAGTAAACCTAGATAATAAGTTAGTAAATCTAGATAATACTTCAGTTAGTAATTCAAGATGATACTTTAGTTAGTAATCCTAGATTATACTTCAGTTAGTTTAAACTAATAATACTATAGTTAGTAAACCTAGATAATACTTCAGTTAGTTTAAACTAATAATACTATAGTTAGTAAACCTAGATGACCCCTTACTCAGTAAACCTAAATGCTCCAGTAGTAAACCCAAATAATGTATTACCTAGGTAATACTGTAGTTAGTAAACATTAAAAATACTGCAGTTAGTAAACCTATATAATAATGTTTTTAGTAAACCTAAATAATAATGTAGTTAGTAAACCTAGATAATACTGCAATAAGTAAACCAAGATAATACTGTAGCTAGTAAACCTAGTGAATACTGCAGTAAACTTAGATAATACTGTAGTAAACCTAGATAATACTGTAGCTAGTAAACCTAGATAATGCTGCAGTTAGTAAACCTAGATAATACTATAGTTAGTAAACCTAGAAAATACTATTGTTAGTAAACCTAGATAATACTTCAGTTAGTAAACCTAGATAATATTATAGTTAGTAAATCTAGATAATACTTCAGTTAGTAATTCAAGATGATACTTTAGTTAGTAATCCTAGATTATACTTCAGTTAGTTTAAACTAATAATACTATAGTTAGTAAACCTAGATAATACTTCAGTTAGTTTAAACTAATAATACTATAGTTAGTAAACCTAGATGACCCCTTACTCAGTAAACCTAAATGCTCCAGTAGTAAACCCAAATAATGTATTACCTAGGTAATACTGTAGTTAGTAAACATTAAAAATACTGCAGTTAGTAAACCTATATAATAATGTTTTTAGTAAACCTAAATAATAATGTAGTTAGTAAACCTAGATAATACTGCAATAAGTAAACCAAGATAATACTGTAGCTAGTAAACCTAGTGAATACTGCAGTAAACTTAGATAATACTGTAGTAAACCTAGATAATACTGTAGCTAGTAAACCTAGATAATGCTGCAGCTAGTAAACCTAGATATTACTGTAGTAAACCTTGATAATACTGTTGTGTACCTAGATAATACTGTAGTATACCTAGATAATCTATATATAAATTTGGCTTGTCTGTCTGTTTGTCTGT